GCAGGGGGGACGGGGATTCGGAGGGGTCCGGAGCCAAACCTCGCCCGGAGCTTTCGCAGCCTCGGGGGGAACCTGCCGGCAGCTGTCCGGACGCGCCGCAGCTCCTCTCCCTCTTTCGCTCTTTCCCTTCCTCCACCTCCTCCTCCTCCTCCTCCTGCAGGTGCAGCAGCCTCTCCCTCTGCCGACTTCCGGCCCCGCCACTTCCTACTTCCGCTCAGGAGTCCGTCGCGTTAAGCGGTCCCCCGGCTGGGCCCCAGAGTCATTTCCGCCGTACGCGGCAGGAGGAGGAACAAAACAAAAAAACCAACAGGAGGCACCGGCGCGCGTAGTAAAAGGAGGCTCGCGTTGTTTGAGAGAGGCTTGCCCTTTGCTCAGTAAAGTCGGCTTGCGCTTGTGTGGTCGCAAAAGTCGTTCGGCATTGGCTCCCCGCTTTTGCCAGGCATTATTTTTAATACTTTGTTGGGAGCCGCCTAGAGTGGCTGGGGAAACCCAGCCAAATGGGCGGGGTATAAATAAATTTATTATTATTATTATTATTACAGGCACGCTTTGAAGACATCTCTGTAATAGCTGCATTAGGAATCACCACCTTCCACATCCGCTGCATCAGGAAGATTTTGGGCATCGCATAGTCTCTGGCAAAGATGTGCTCTCCCAAACTCCCAGCATGATCTCCTGTCTCGGCAAACAACGTCTATGCTGGCTCGGCCATGTCCACAGAATGGAAGATGGCACGATCCCTAAGGATGTGCTCCACGAGGAGCTGGCTTTGGGCACCAGGCCCATCGGCAAACCAACTCTGCGCTACAGATATGTCTGCAGTTGTGGCATGAAGGCTGACAACATCAAACCTGGCCTGTGGGAACCGCTTGTGAAGGACCACAGCACCTGGAGACAGGCAGGTTGTGTACCCATAGCAGTGATCTGAGGAGAAATGACAGCTGGGAGGAGCGCAGAGAGAAGAAATGCCATGAAGCATCTGCAGCAGCGCATGGTGCATCTGCAGCCTTCATTTGCCCCAGCTGCAACAAAACAGGCCTCTCCCTTATCAGTCTCTACAGCCGCAGCAGGCGCTGTAACTCTCCAGTGGTTTGACTTCACCCCCAAAGGTGCGCTCCTCCATGGCCCCCAACAGCCTGGTGCCTGAAACCAGCTCCCTATGGATCACCTCCTTGGGGATCCTGCCATCTTGCATTCTGTGTACAGTGGTGCCCCGCAAGACGAATGCCTCGCAAGACGGAAAACCCGCTAGACGAAAGGGTTTTCCGTTTTCGAGGTGCTTCGCAAAACGAATTTCCTATGGGCTTGCTTCGCAAGATGAAAATGTCTTGCGAGTTCCTGCAGGTTTTTTTCCCTCCCCCTCCCTTTTTCCCAAGCCGCTAAGCCGCTTATCAGCTGATCCACTAAGCCGCTTAACAGCTGATCCGCTAAGCCACTAAACAGCTGATCGCTAAGCCGCTTATCAGCTGATCGCTAAGCCGCTTATCAGCTGATCCGCTAAGCCGCTTAACAGCTGATCCGCTAAGCCCGCTAAGCCGCTAATAGCGCTAAGCCGCTAATAGCGCTAAGCCGCTAATGGGCTTACTTCGCAAGATGAAAAAACCACAAGACGAAGAGACTCGCAGAACGGATTCTTTTCGTCTTGCGAGGCACCACTGTACATGACCAAGCCCTAAGATTATCGTGGTTTAAGCCTCCATGGATTCAAAAATCTCTATTCGACCATAGAAGCTCATGCCACAATAAGTCTCCTTTGTTTTTGCATTGAAACGGTCATAGTGCCAACAACTCTTCTAGATATCATGACTATTTTTTGTTTTATGGAATTTTAATTGGATTTGTTTAAATGCTTGCATTTAAAACTTTGCAGATGCTGCCTCAAGGACATTTTTTTGTGGAAAATAATTCTACAATAAATTGTGGTTTGTTTTTTTAAAAAATCTATGCAAATAATTTTCAGCCTTGGGGGTAGACAGGAGCCTAGAAAAACTATTCTTCATTTGGAATGTAGCATTGGGAAAGTTAAGGTACTTCATAACATCTGGAAGTGCCAGGGGCGAAGAAAGAAAGGTAGGGGCTGTGAAAGAGAGTGAGCAGAGGAGTCTAAGGCTGCAAGTCTAAGCACACCTCTAAGGGAATAAGCCCCATTATGCACAATGGAACTTACAGCTGTGTATTGGGAACATAAGCTGCTTTGCATGGAATCAGACCGTTTGTCCGTCTAATTAAGTATTGTCTATGACTGGCAGGAGTCTTTCTCGGCCTAAATGAGACATGTTGGGGATGATTTACCTTTGAACCTTTTGTTCACAAAACACCATCAAACCACAGCTCCTTCCAGAATTGTCTCCTCCTAGAATTGCACAGCGGGAATATAAGATACCAAACTTGTGTAGGGTACTGAAACAACACAAGGGACATTTTCAGATTGTTTTGAAGGGTGAGTGGGAAGATTCATGGCAAGGTACAAAGGCCCATTTTTAAAATATATTTAAGATTAGATAGCAGCAACTCAGCTGCAAGTGTGTAGAATATTATCAGCCGAATCTATCCTTAGGTGACTGTAGATTCAGGTAGGTAGCCATGTTGGTCTGACGCAGTCAAAATAAAATTTAAAAATTGTCCATTAGCACCTAAGTTTGTTCTGCGTATAAGCTTTTGAAGAAGTGTGCATGCACATGAAAGCTTATAGCCAGAACAAACTTAGTTGGTCTCTAAGGTGCTACTGGACAATTTTTTAATTTTTTTAGGTGACTGCTTTCAGTTTTGCCTCAAAGGTCAGGTGCTTTTTACTCATTTATTAGCTTATAATATATGTGTTACATTTATGGCTCAGGCTTAAGACTGGTATCATTTACTTTTCAGTAGTGAAGCTGGGCACCATCATTCTCATTTTAACAACAGCTGTGAAACAGTAAGCAACTCTGGGCAAATTGCTGGCTATTCAAATAGCTATCACACCTCTTTCATCCATCCTGTTAGTAACTCCTACCTTAATTTCTACAACAATTTAGATATTTCAAATACAGTGGTACCTCGCAAGACGAATGCCTCGCAAGACGGAAAACTCGCAAGACGAAAGGGTTTTTTGTTTTTTGAGCTGCTTCGCAAGACGATTTTCCCTATGGGCTTGCTTCGCAAGACGGAAACGTCTTGCAAGTTTGTTTCCTTTTCTTAACACCGTTAATACAGTTGCGACTTGACTTCAAGGAGCAACTCATAGCACGCGGTTGTGGTAGCCTTTTTTGAGGTTTTTGAAGACTTTGGTGATTTTTGAAGCTTTTCCAAAACTTTTCCGACACCGTGCTTCGCAAGACGACAAAAATCGCAAGACGACAAAAATCGCGGAACAAATTAATTTCGTCTTGCGAGGCACCACTGTAAACCTCTCAATAGGGATGTTAAGTGGCTGGCCTCAGCCAACCCCCGCCCATTGCTCTCCAAGGCACACAACAGCCAAAGAACCTTGTCATTATCAAAGTAGAAAACATCAAACGGCCATATTCTGCAAACTATATATTACTAATAGGTTTTATCTTAAACAGTAGCAAACACAGTAAATAAAGAGTTCACACGTCAGTGGTTCAGTGCTCATTTCTTCTCTTCCCAAATTAGATTTTATCTTGAACAATTGCAAACGCAGTAATAATTACTGCACTTGTGAGAGAGTAGTGGTTCAGTGCTCAGATATCGTTCCAGTAATCCAATGTTTCGTCGCTAAAGAGCTTAGATATCAAGCTTTGTAATAAATAATATACAAGAGAAGACCGTATGTAAACGACTTAAAGCAGGGGTACATCTGTCCCCATCTGCACGTTTCCATCGGGAAGAGAATAGAAAGAGGACGATGTCCTTCAGTTTGTTAAACCTCCTGCTATTGTATCACGTCATTTGTTAAATTACTGCTATTGTATCACGTAAGACAAAGGTGTTCACTTTTGGTATGGGGCTAAATATATAGGTAGTATTCAACTAATTTTTACTCAGAGTAGATTCAGTGGACAGTTGACAGTGCAACAGACTCCCTAGGGAGCTGGTGGGCTCTCCTTCCTTGGGAGATTTTAAAGCAAAGGTTGGATGGCCATCTGTCATGTATGATCTAGTTGAGATTCCTGCATTGCAGGGGGTTGGACTAGATGACGTTCAGGTTCCCTTCCAACTCTTCAATTCTCTGATTCTATGACTCATTGAAAATGATTCACAAGGCTAGACCAGATCCATTAATTTCAATAGCTCCACTTTTAGTAGAACTTCAGACTAACCGAGTACATCAAATTAGATCCACATTACGTTCTCCCACTAAACTCAGCGGGAGCCATTTTGACCAGAGCCCACCTCTAGCTGTGTAGCCTTATACTTCCATCTTCAGAACCCTGCCTTGACTTCTGTTTCCTCGGTCGCAATGAAGTGTGACAAAGGCTGGGGATCTGCTGAAAAGACGATAGATGCAGCCTATTGCTTCTGCGCTTTCAGTAACAATCTGCTGATGGGAATCATGATAACCAAGAAGAAAACTTTCAATGAGGGAAAGCCGCTCTTCACCACTTTGATTTTGAGGAGGAGGAGTAATAATAATAATAATAATAATAATAATAATAATAATAATAATAATAATTCTTATACCCCACCTATCTGGGTGGTTTCCAACAAAATATCAAGATCCAGTGGTACCTCGGGTTACATACGCTTCAGGTTACATACGCTTCAGGTTACAGACTCCGCTAACCCAGGAATAGTGCTTCAGGTTAAGAACTTTGCTTCAGGATAAGAACAGAAATCGGGCTCTGGCAGTGTGGCGGCAACAGGAGGCCCAATTAGCTAAAGTGGTGCTTCAGGTTAAGAACAGTTTCAGGTTAAGTACGGACCTCCGGAACGAATTATGTACTTAACCCGAGGTACCACTGTAATCTGAAAAGGTAGTTAAAGTACAGAAGGCAGGAAATAATCCACATGAGGACCCAGCCCCCTCTCCCTCATTGACCAACAATATGATGCATATGCAAAGAAAACCATAAAGTGCTTTATTCTGCGTAGAGTTACAAGGGGAGCTACAGGCACTATGCACGAAATCCCCCATCTCAAGCAACAGAATGCTTCCATGGAACCCAAAAAGGACTCCACAGCCACAGTAACTAGACAAAAATGACCCTCAGAAGTGAAGATCCTCAGACACAGTGTCCCCCCCACATTTGGGTAAAGCCGATCAAGAATCTTCCTTTTCCTGAAACCTGGAAGTGAAAAACAAATGCATATGTATTTGTAAGGCCATTCCCCAATGGAACTTTCCAACAGAAGCAACTCACAGAGAACGGTGACTGGATGACAAAGAGAATGGGGTTTTGTAGCACTGCACTCCAAAACTCTTGAGCAACCTCTCCCAGTAGTGTCCATGTAGCTACAGTACTGAGGAAAGTCAGGGGTGAGATGGATTCTCACAGGCCCTCAAAAGGCAACAGCCATGGAGGTATGCAGATCTTCCCTCAATACCATCTTATGAGACCTACTCTCCTAGAAACATGAGAACCATCATAAAGCAGCATCTCCAGCATTCATCCTAGGGAAGGACAGTGGCATGGCGATAAGAATGACCGTTCTGCATGCATAAGGTCTTAGGTTCAACCCACTGCACATCTATGTAGGGTAGGGAAAGACTCTGGGGAGCTGATGCCAGTCACTGCAGACCAGCTGGGGCTGAATGGAAAGTGATACCTGCTGAATCAGAAGGGCCATAGCTCAGAGAGAAGGTCCAGGTTCAATCCCTGACTTCTCCAGGTAGGGCTGCAAATATCCTGTCTGAAACACTGGGCAGCTGCCACCAGTCAATGTAGACCATGCGTGGGTAACCTTTGGTGCTCCATACGTTGCTGAACTACAACTCCCATCAGCCCTAGCAAGCATGGTCAATGGCCACGGATCGGGGGGGAGGTTCCTTACACCTGGTGTAGGCAAAACTGAACTAAATGAACCAATGTTCTGACACAGGAAAAGGCAACTTCCTCACCTTTGTAGGCAGCTCAGAAGAGTTGAAACCTACTGCAAAGCCCAGCAGAACCAATGGAGACTATTCACCAAGGCAACCCAAGTTCTTTGTCTCAAAACCAGGCTGGATGATGCAATCTTAATAAAAGTTTGTAGCACATGTTTCTTGGCAAATCAGTTGGGGTGGATGGGGTTGCTCATGGTGCTAATAATCCAATAGGGGACAAACAAACATATTTTGCAAAGCATGGACAAAGCGAACAGGGTGTCCAAGAGAGGCATGAACAAGCTGTTAGTAGCCTATCCTTACTTGCATCGAACGCAGGTGTAGAAGACCGTCTGCCCTTCATCCGCAGACCTCATCTGCCGCGTATGGTATGCCATGCCCTCGTTCCCGCACTGGGGACACTTCCTGTCAATCTGAGAGGAGAAACATAGGATAGATTCAGACCGGGAGGTGGGTTTCCCCATTTGGAATTTCATTCAGAGAACCCGCTTCAGAAAAAGAATATAAAGACATCTAAAATTCCATGCTCAGCACCTAAATTGCAAATCTGGGAATTACGATTCTGCCCCCAACATTTTCTTCCTGATGTGGGAACCATGTCAGCCAGATTTCATGGGCAGGATTCAAAGTATGTTGCTGTTGTTTAAGTTCCACACTGAAAATCCAAAACTCAAAGAGAAAATTGTGCACACACTCCTCAATTCATATTTTAAAAGTGTGCATCTAAAAGTTTAATGTTGGCAGGGTCAAATTATAAATTCTGTACTCTTTTATATAGTCCACTGTAAACAAGTGTACCTGCAGGCATGGAACAGCAACACTGTCCTGACAACAACTTGCATACCACCCCACCAGTTCTGAGCTACCTCATTTGAGTTAAAGGAACAAGGATCTTGGGATGCCTTTGCTACAGACAAATGAATTATTCCAGTATAACACCTACTTTCATTTCCCCATCCACTTACCAATGGTCCCTTGACCGCGCTTCCTTCATCCTCCGTCTTCAAAGAGGTGGAATCTGCACTGTTGAATGTGACGGATGTATGCACAATTCGCATCTCAAAAACTGTGTAGAGAACAAACGTATGAGGAACAACAGAGAACAGAACTCAAAAATGCAAGCTTAAAAGTCCCTCCTAATACTCTTTACAACAGCCTTCTATTTAATATCTCACCTGGCAGCCACAGGTGTCAAGGAAATCCAAACAGGCATGTGTAGGGACTTCCATACAGGCAACTGAGAAAGGTAGAAGCTGAGGGACAGGTGGCTCCATCCCTCCTGTGTTAGCTTGCTGCATTCTTATGCTGGCTGCTTAAGGAGTGGGTTCATCACCTGGCATCAAGACAGCAAGCTGATGAAGGAGGGGTGCAGCAATTCATACACACCTGGCCCCTCTTCCAACAGTTCATTTGGTTTCCATGCTAGACTGCTAGTGGTGGAGAGGAGAAGGCAATCCTTCATCCACAGTCAGCACAGAAATGCAGCCTATCAGCCTCTTAGCAGAGAAGTAAAAAGAACAACCCTAAAATAGCAGGATAGCAACTGTTGTGGGTTTATTTACAAGGCCATTCTACACTTTCACCAATCTGAGAGCACAGAAAGTGTCCCCATGTCTTGTTGCAGGCACCTCAAAATGCTCAAAATTTTGTGGAAGAAAAACTGGTGACCCCTCCCCCAAAACTTTTCAAGAGGGGTGCATAATTGCTACTCCTCTTTTAATGACAAGATTCCTAAAAGTGTTATAAGTATTTACATAGCAGCTCCACATCTGAAGTTGGGTGAGTGTAGAGATGCAGCCCACAATTATACTTATGCCCACCTCTTGAATGACACCAGCCTTCAGGAATTTCTAACGTGTCTGCCTGGGGCTTCCCCAGAATGTGTCAGGAAGAGACCAAAGCCCTTACCTCGCACATCAATGGAGTAAGAGCAACAGGGGCATGTCACCTTGTCCTGAATCCCCGGCAAAGGCAGGACAGTACCGCACTCGGGGCAGAAATCGAGTTCTGATTCAAAGCAGGAGCTGCCTTGTATCATAATGACCAAAGTAAGTGGAAACTCTGCGGGGAGAAAAACACACACGTGCTCATGAAAACATCAGCTAGTCCAAGTGAAAACACATGTCAATGCTTTAGGAAAGGAAGGCTTTGGGAGCTGCTTGTGGTAACTCGTATCCCTTGCATGACTGCCAAGCTAAATATAGTCCCGTCCATCCATTAACTCCTCCATTTATCTGGACAATTGTTCACTGTATCACATACAGTGGTACCTCCAGTATATCTGAAGGAGCGTCTCCTCCCCCATCGTTCTGCCCGGACACTGAGGTCCAGTTCCGAGGGCCTTCTGGCGGTTCCCTCACTGCGAGAGGCCAAGTTACAGGGAACCAGGCAGAGGGCATTCTCGGTAGTGGCGCCCACCCTGTGGAACGCCCTCCCATCAGATGTCAAAGGGATAAACAACTACCTGACATTCAGAAGACATCTGAAGGCAGCCCTGTTCAGGGAAGTTTTTAATATGTGACATTTTAGTGTATTTTTCATCTTTGTTGGAAGCCGCCCAGAGTGGCTGGGGAAACCCAGCCAGATGGGCGGGGTACAAATAATAAATTATTATTATTATTATTATTATTATTATTATTATTACCTTCGGGTTAAGTACTTAATTCGTTCCAGAGGTCCATTCTTAACCTGAAACTGTTCTTAACCCGAAGCACCACTTTAGCTAATGGGGCCTCCTGCTGCCACCACGCAGACGGAGCACGATTTCTGTTCTCATCCTGAAGCAAAGTTCTTAACCTGAAGCACTATTTCTGGGTTAGCGGTGTCTGTAACCTGAAGCGTATGTAACCCGAGTTACCACTGTACATCGTGCAAACTGAAAACGGATTCCTCCAAGAAGCCATTGTAGCAAATTTATAAGGAGTTACAGCTAGGATAAACCCATCCCGGGTATTCTTGCGGTTAAATAAATAAATAAGCGGAGAAAGTCCTCAAACCCCCAAAATGAGCAGTTTCCTTTCTGACTTCTTTTATATCACCATATATATAAATAAATATATTGGGTCAGAACTTACTCCCCGCTAAAGCCGCTAAGGCTACAGCAGCAGACCTACAGGAACAGAACCGGAGCTCTGCAAATCAAATCACGCAGGCGCCAGGCAGCCCGATTCTCCCCAGGCTCCCTCCCGCGTCCTCTTACTGGCTTTGATGCAGCGGCTGGTTCCGCTGATTCCGCACGTGCTGGCATGGAACACTCACTTCATTTCCTGGAGAGACAAGCTCGGGAGCCTAGAGCGCCCGTGCGTCTAGAGAGGTGAAAAAGAAAGATGCAGAGGGAAACCCCTAGAGCGTCTCCATCCATGGAGGTCTTCGAATTTCACCGCTGGAATCGCGCGCATTAGGATTAAATGCTCTTCGAAAAGCGCACTTTGGTTCCCAGTAAATGCACATAGGATCAGACTAGATGGGATTTTCCGAACTGGGGTTTGTTTGTTTGTTTGTTTGTTTGCTTGCTTGCTTGCTTGCTTGTGTGTTTATTAGATTTCAATGCCGCCCTTCATCCGAGGATCACGGGGCGGTGTACAATAAAAAACCACAAATATGCATGACAAAAACAATAAAAACGCTTATTTATTTGTTTGTCGCTTTGTTTCGTATAGCTTTCAACACACCCAGCAAAAATGCCTCCCAGAGCAGCTGTCAGATCTATAAGAAAAATTAAAAAAACAAGATTGTCCCTGGCAAACTCAGTCTTGAAAAACGTGACACAGAAAGAAAATGGATGGGTTTGGAAAAGGAAATATGCAATGACCGTGTCCCAGATTTTAGTGGCGGACTGGCTTACCCTCAGCTAGCTATTTATTTTACGTATACTGAGAATAAATAGTCAACAGGAAAATACAGTTTTCCAAAGCTACCATATTCACCGCCATTGCAAAGATGGTGTGAAAACTGATTGTGGTGAATGTAAAAGCTCCTCACTGGATTGGTGGCAAGGAGTGAAACTCTGCTTCAATATATGACCATTTTCGTTTTGAACATTTTATTTTTTAAATTAAATTTCTATTTTTTATAAAGTTTTTTATTAACAATTTCAACATAACAATATATCAAAACATATCATATTCATTATTTTTCCCCTTTTCCCCCACTCCCCATCAAACCCTCAGTGCCCCCCAAGACTTCCCTCAGCTCTTCTCTCTGATTTCTCAACACATGCTATTCTCTGCATATTATAAAATTATATCAGTCTTTATATTATCTATCGACCATGTTATCAATCAATAAATTTGTGTATGTTTATTCAAAACCTGCCAAGGAGTCGAATTCATTTTGTTGTCTTTTTAAATACTTGGTAAAAAGTTCCCTTTCTTCTTTAAAGCCACAGTTGTCCGTATCTTGCAGTTTGTATGTCAGTTTAGCTAATTCTGCATAGTTCATCAATTTCTCTTGCCACTGTTCCTTTGTTGGGATTTCCTCATTCTTCCATCCTTGTGCTATCAAGACTCTTGCCGCTGTTGTAGCATACATGAATAAATTCTTTATTTTCCTTGGCAGGTCTTGTCCTACAATCCCTAACAAAAATGCTTCTGGTTTTTTTACAAATGTCATTTTAAACATTTTCTTCAATTCATTGTATATCATTTCCCATTTTTTAAAATTTCTCTACATTCTTACCACATATGATAAAAGGTCCCTTCCTTTTCTTTACATTTCCAACATATGTTTGACCCGGTTTTGTACATTTTTGCTATCTGTACTGGTGTTATGTACCATTTATACATCATTTTCATATAGTTTTCTTTCAAAAGAGAACAGTCTGTAAATTTTAATCTATTTTCCACAGTTTTTTCCAATCTTCAAATTGTATATTATATCCTATATCTTGTGCCCATTTGATCATGACCGATTTCACCTCCTCATCTTTTGTTTCCCATTCTAACAGAATACTATATGCACCCTTCAGCAACTTCACTTTCCTTTCTATGACTTCCTTTTGAAATCTAGAAGTGGTGTAACTAAATCCTTTCTTGTTGTCTTCTTTGTACATCTCATGTAATTGCCTGTAACGTAACCAACTCTGAAAATGATGCTTATTTCCTCATGCTCTTTTAGTTTCCATTTTCCTTCTTGATCTTTTAATAAAGCACTATATGTAAGCCACTTTCCTTTTTTGCCAAGTGGCTTGAGCAACAAAGCTTCAATTGGTGAGCGCCTGCCAACCTAGCAGTTCGAAAGCACCCCCGGGTGCAAGTAGATAAATAGGGACCGCTTACTAGCGGAAAGGTAAACGGCGTTTCCGTGTGCAGCTCTGGCTCGCCAGAGCAGCGATGTCACGCTGGCCACGTGACCCGGAAGTGTCTCCGGACAGCGCTGGCCCCCGGCCTCTTGAGTGAGATGGGCGCACAACCCTAGAGTCTGTCAAGACTGGCCCGTACGGGCAGGGTTACCTTTTACCTTTACCAAGGTGACTTTTGTTCTATTAAGTCTTTATATATCTCCCAGACCCTCATTAATGATTTCCTAATTATATGATTGTAGAATCCTTTATGTACTTTTCCTTTCCCATACCATAAGTATGCATGCCATCCAAATCTGTTATCATGGCCTTCTAAGTCCAATGCTTCTTACTTTTCCAGTTTTATCCTGTCCCTGATCCATACCAAACATGCAGCCTCATAATACAATTTAAGGTCTGGGAGGGCAAAACTGCCTCTTTCTTTTGTGTCTGTAAGTATTTTATGTTTAATCCTTGGCCTTTTGCGCCCCCCCCCCCAAACTTGGAAATTTCCTTCTACCATCATTTGAGCCAATCATCTTTCACCATTACTGGGACTGTCTGAAAAAGAAAGAGCATTTTTGGCAAAACATTCATTTTTACCGCTTCAATTTTTCCTAGTAGGGAGAGGTTCATTCTACTCCATATTTCTAAATTTCTTTTTATCTCAAGCCACACTTTTTCATAATTATGTTTATAAATGTTTATATTTTTTGCAGTTAGCCATATCCCTAGATATTTTACTTTTTTATGGACTTCTTTCTCAATACTTTGCTCCAACTCTTTTTTCTCTCCTTCCTTCAGATTTTTTTACTAATAACTTTTGTTTCTACTTAATTTAAATCCTGCCACTTCCCCAATTTTTTTATTTTTCCCTACAACTCTGGGGAGAGTCTTTTGGCTCTTCCACTGTAATCACTAAATCATCAGCATATGCTTTCAATTTAAACTCACTTTTCCCAGTTATTATCCCAGTGATCTCTTTATCTGCTCTTATGTTTCTAGTAGGTACCTCCAGAACCAGAATGAATAACAGCAGTGATAGTGGACATCCTTGTATAGTTCCTTTTTGTATCTTACAGTCATCCATTATCACCTGATTTACAATTAATTTAGCTTTTTGTTCTGAATATATTGCTTGTATTCCTTTTAAAAATATGGATCCACAATTAATTTCTTCAAGTAATTTTGTCATAAAATTCCAAGAAACATTGTCAAAGGCTTTTTCGGCATCTATAAACATCATTGCTGCTTTCTTTTCATTTTTGATCTCCAGATATTCTATTTCATTAAGGACATTTCTTATTGTCAGGGGCTCAGGAGCAGAGGCACAGGGGAGAGAGGAAATGGAGAGCGAAGGGGAAGAATCTGAGGGCAGCGGAGGGGAGAATGACAGTGACCCGAGAGATTCCATGAGCCTCTCCAGCGAATCAGAAGATTCCCAGAAGGAGGCGCCGATGGTCAGGGCAAGGGGGGTCCCAGGGGGGACGCACCAGAAGCAAGGGGCCAGCGGGGACTCCCAAAGCAGCAGCGGGAGATCAGGACCAGCTTCCCCACCAGAGCGTAGTGGGGGGGAAGAGTCCCATGTGTCAGGGCCAGCGTCTCCTCCAGCAGGGAGAGAAGATGAGTCAGGGCTGACCACGCCTCTATCGGAGAGTGGGGGAACGGAGGGGAGGTCAGATCCAGCTAGCCTCCCCGAAGGAGGAAGCAGTGACAGGAGCAGTGTAACGGTCAGGAGGAAGGTGGCCGGCTGGGCGCGCGCGCCAAGTTCGAATGTACAGGCGCGCGGGACAGCAGAAAACCCGGATTGGGAACCAGGTCCTAAAGCCCGCCGGAGGCAGGGGAAGACTCAGGGGACTCAGCGTCAGAAGAGTCTAGGAAGGGCAAAACCCCAGCGGACAGGCGGACCCAGAGAAGGAAAGAGCAAAGGAAGAGGTGGAGCAAGGCTAGAGACTTAAACTGGTGTCTGGGGGGAGGAGACTCAGACGGAGCTTCGGCGGTCTAGAGTTTGAGACGTAGAGCTGCGCGCCGCGGCTGTGAAAGCGAAACTGAGCTTCAATAAAGACTGTTTTATATAACAACGAACTGGCGTTGGTCCTTTGTGAGCTGGGACCTAGGGCAGCTCTGACACTTATATTCTCTTTCGTTTGTCTACCTGGAAGAAATCCTGTCTGATCTTGATGTACATACTCATTTAATATTTTTTGGCTAGCTAAAATGTTTGCAAATAATTTATAATCATTGTTTAATAATGAGATAGGCCTATAATTTTTAATTTACAGCAAATCTGAATCTTGTTTTAGGATTACTGTAATATAAGCCTCTTTCCATGTTTCTGGGATTTCACCTGTATTTAAAATCTCATTCATAACATCTTTCAATGGGTTTACCAATTGTTCACTTACTTTTTTATAATACTTTGCAGTTAAACCATCTGGACCCGGTGCTCCCACTGTGCTCCAGAGGCTTTGCGTTGCTTTCGCTGAAGCCAGGAGAGCAAGAGGGGTCGATGAGCGCTGCAACCCCAGAGTCGTCTGCAACTGGACCTAACAGTCAGGACTCCCTTTACCTTTAATACCACTTTAAACAGCCATGGCTTCCCCAAAGAATGCTGGGTGCTGTAGTTTAAGTCGGGTTGCCATATTTCAACACACACCTTTTTTTTGCCAAATCTTAAAAAAAAATGAAAATCACCAAAATCTACACTACCAACATGGGCTGCCACACATCCAGATTTTCCCAGACATTTCAGTGATTTTCTGCCCCGACGCTGTTTACAAGTACTGAATACTGACTGTGTCCAGGAAATTTTGGACGTATGGCAACCCTAAGTTTATGGTGCTGAAAGTTATTAGAAAACCCCTGTTCTCCTCACAGAGCTACAGTTTCCTACAGAATCAGACAGCATTTAAAAAAAATAGTAATCTACC